CTAACCCGTGAATCAGCCCATGTTCTTTCAGCCGATGACTTGTTTTAAATCATGTTTTTGGCTTTACTTAACCATTTTCTTTAATAAACTTAACCCACGCAAGTCTCGGACACCGTTAATTAAAGTGCGGTTTAACGTATATTTTTTTTCTTTTGAAGCATTATTAAAACAAAATTGAACCACAGCATATATGTTGTAGTCAATTTTTCATCCTAGGTAATTTTTGTTTTTCTTTTGTTCTTGGGTATGGTAATATATGCTAATGAAGTTGAAACAAAGGACAAACAAAATCACCTGGGATAAACATTAACTACCACATATATATTTCACCAGGTGCAAGCTTCATTTGACTTACGTAGATTGCAGTAGCATCACAAAGTAAGACGTTTTCTTTAATATCATGACTATCATATCAGAAAAGAACCAATAAATTGTCAATTTTCTGCAAGCTGCCACTCTAAGAAAAAAAAACCTCGCATGGAAATGTTTAATCAAATGCAAATGAATCCGTAAAGCAAGGTCCAAATGCACGCGTTCCACATGTTGCAAGGTCTCACGTTTACAAACTAGCATTGACAATGGGGAGTTTAAGCTTAACGTATTCGGCAAACGTCAGATTTAAGTTAAGAATTTTTCAAAATAGAAAATAAGCAGATAAAAACAGCTCAAAACAATTCTTATGCCGTTATGGATAAACAATTGCGTGAAACTACTAAATTATGTGTAGAAATAATGAACCGTAAACGACAAGTAATGGCGAAACTTGGTCACGTGGTACAAATTTGCAGTTTGACTTTATATGTAAACGTGATGCTTTACCTCTCCAATAATTAATTTCAACGGGTAAAATAAGACGGCTATACGCATTTGCGGGAAACGAATCGTCCCTAAGTTATTCTGCTAACAGTTTGCGCACAAATAATAAATATGAAATTAATATATTTTAAATATATATTGCGCAAATATTAACAGATAAGCAAGTTTTCAAATGCGCATTACGATGAAGAAAGGAAAAAAAAATCAAATAACCTTAAAATGAGAATAAAATCCTATACAGCTGGACGAAACCAAATCGAAGTCATAATACTTCTAAAAAGCCACCATAAATACGGTGAAGGGACAGTTTACAATCCCTCTGAATTGCATGTTGTAAGGGTATGAATTACTCCGTAGAACAGTAATGTCGAATCTATTTCAACCCGTACCATTTTAAGATAAATATGAAAAATTCTCTGCCCCGTTTAAACCCAAACAGGAGTGAAATAGTTGTGTTGAATAAATGTTCATCGAATTTTCCTGAGATCATTTTCTATGAATGACGTACAAGAGGAGGCTTATGTACATGTCATCGGTTTGCCCCGGGGGTAGACCCCTGGGACAGGACAACCGAAGGGAATATGTCGGGGAATACAGTGGGATAGATTGGATTCTCTGCCCTTGGGGAGGAGAAAATTCACGACATTGTTTTAAGTTTGAAGGGAAGAGGGTGGGGGAATTGCAAATTTTGTAAAATCGCGGACGGTACCCACAGGGATACACCTATTTCAATTAAGGTTGCTCCCGTGAACCATGTTTCATAGGCTGCAGTGCACTATGGTAAGCCCTTTTGTAGCGGGAAGTTTAGTCTTGCTCACGTTCATTAAAATAATGAAGACCATTTGTGAGAAGGCTTTTAAGAGAGCTTTAAAGTCAAATGCCTGCTAAAATTCTTCAGCATAAGCAGCTGAAAAATTTCATTTTTAAAATCTCATAGTAAAGAATTAGAAGCCTCTTCATTTAACAACATCAAATGAATAAGGTTTTACCCCTTGATTAAACTACGTTTTTGCATGGGCCAGAAGCTGGTTATTTCAATAAAGCAAATCAACGCTATTCTTTTTTTATTCAGTTTTTTAAAAAAAATGCCTCAAAAATAGGTAAACACGTAATGTTAAGTTATTTATTGTAGTTCAACAAACGCCTTTAATTTGCCTTTTTTTACTCCATCCAAAATTCCCACATGCACGAGCCAAGCAAACTCTTTGAAAATTTGCAGTATTTGCATATGGTCACAGAGAAAAACCTAACCTCAAATCACTGTCTCAAATTTGAAAGCCTAGGATTCAGTGTTTCGAAATACATTGTCTTAAAGTTCTACTGACATAGCATAGAAGCGTCAGCAGCGTTTGCTTTCTAGGTTTCTAGGCTCGTTGGGGGCACATAATTTACAAGACTTGCTACAATTAATAATGCAACGCGGGCTATGAAACTGGATCATGCATCATGCATCATTCTTCTCTGAAGCAACCTTAATTGAAATAGGTTTATATATCACGGGGATGAATCACAAAAAGGGTTTTATAAAAGGAGAAGCATTACGTCTTTTAAGAACTAACTCAGTTAGAGAAAACTGTGAACAAAGCAAACGAGACCTTGAACGAGGCTACCCATAAAACGCTCGTTCAAGAAATACTGACTGAGGTTATGTTCACCGACAGAAACGAGGTTCTTCGCAACAGAACAAAACAAACGAGATTTTACCGTTCGTTACTACCTACAACATCTACAATCACGCCACACCGAATCTCAAAAAGATTCTCACGAAACACTGCAAGATACATCGTTCAACAGAAAGCTAAGCTTAAAAATATCTTTCACCAGCCACCGATTGTCTCCAACAGGAAAGAAAAATCTCTCAAGGGCATTCTAGTCCGCGCAAAAATTCCTTCAATCTCGCAACGATCACAATTCATCAAAGCAGTAAAAAAGGTAGAACTTGGCAATCTGCATACGATCACCTAAACTGACTCCTAAAAACAGCAATCAGCGTCCATTCGTTTATTGAAAAACAACCGGGTCAATATATTTTCAGATCTCTTAACTGATCATTCTTATTACGAACGTAGAAGATGAGCACTCGTAGACTTTATTAAAAATTCATACGTGAATGAAATTCAATGAGTAACTGTGATTTTTGAGCATCACCAAGTAGATTATTTCAGGTCATTTTAGTAGTCTATGGAAAAACTGTCAGTCTCTCCTAACCTCGTTGAATCTATCTTCAGGTGTCCTTTCATTGTAGTGATTTTTGTTCAATAAAGATATTATATTGCTTCTCCGAGCCCAACACGAATGAGTAAAATTTCATTCCCAAATATCAGAAAAACGCCCCCTGCGTCACGTGAATCCCAGTTATTTGAGGTGGATATCAGGGGAATTTTTCGTTGAGAAGCACTTGACCCAGGGGACTTTGTCTTATTAAATTCCCCTTTCCCTGGGGGAAATCCTCAACTTGGCTCCACCCATTTTACAATCCCCCTGGTTGGCCCGGGGGTCTACCCCAGGGGCAAGCCGATGACATGAGCATTAAACAGCCACCTTTTCTCAGGCGGGGTACAGTGAATGGCGCACTACCACAGCAATGAACAAATAGGCAAAGCAAAAATAAAGCAAAATGACATCTTCAAAATCGTCACAACTCATTGGTTAAGAGACATCATCTACTGTTAACAGATTCAACTCCCTAATATCTACCCTGGCTGGAAATTTCCGTGCGAGAACAGTGAATTACTCTGAACAAGGCAAGAACTACTTGTTAAAGATTAACGGTAGCATTCAAATAAATCCTTTTCTTTCTGTCGTCCCAACTATCTGAACGCCTGGAACAAGCTCAGTTTGAAGGGTCATTTTAGCGCAACAACTGTCTCGCACTATTAGCCTATAAGAGGCAAGAGGCTGGATACAGAGACAAGAAACAGCAAGGCTGGAAACTGAAACATTCACTTGGCCCAACACATATGCATTCGATAGCTATGTCTCGGTCCAAATCAAGGTAATTTTGGACAACCAACCGTTGCATGTGGGGGAAGGGCGTTTGCCAGAACGGCTGCGGACCGAGAAAGGTTTGTATCCGTTGGATACTTTCAACGACAATTTCTGTGTGTTTCGTTGTTTGACAGTGCATAGACGAGAACATAAAAAGAATAATCTGAGAATAACAAGACGACTCGGGCACAATATTTTTTCGCAGTACATGAAGTTCCAAATGCACCAGAGTCCTTGTACGAAAGAGCATTTTATCCAAGGGGTAAATACGAAAAAACCGCCTGTTACTGGATAGAAAGCGAGGCAAAGCGGCATAGAATCCACATCCATTATCAACTGTGTGGGAAGGGAGGTGAGCAGTTGATAGCCGGACATCCGGTGGACGGGTATCTTCATTAGAGCAAAACAATATACCAGTTTCATGGGTGTCATTTCCACGGATGTCCACAATGTTACCAGGACAGAGACTATTTTTTGCACACGGAGATAGGACAGGATGTAACAAGAGAAGATGTATATCAAAGAACGTTGCGAAGAAGTGAGGCAATCATCCAAGCGGGATACAACTTGGTTGTGCGGTGGGAGCATGAGAAGCCGTAGCCAAGGCGTTGAAAGCTTCCACGCAAGCAGAATGAAACGTTTCCACTTGCGATTGTGTTCGGTTTTGAGGCGTATCAAGATCCTGGGTAAAAGGAGACGCCCTCAGCAGATTTGGTTTTCGAGAGCGAGCACGTTCCTGCCCTGGCGGAGACGTTTGACAGAGAGCCTGAGCATATTTCAGCAAAAGAGCCGAATAAGCTGTTAAGAAAGTTCTGGGAAGCATTGGTAACGCGAGAAGAAATTTTGAGGGAGAGGGTGAGACAAAGCTACGTGCCGGAAGATTACGAGTTATTGCCGAAAAAACAGCAAGCGACAATGATGCAATCAAATACCAGTGGTGGGTTTCTACTAGGGTAAGTATGATTTGAATGTTATCAAAAAGTATTCCTTAACGCATATTGCAGCAGGAAGCAGGTGGCGGTGGCCAAGTAGCAAAAAAGAATCATGTTCTTGACTACACCGTTTTTGGACATCATTGAAAACGTATGGAAGCAGCCAGACAAAATCATGGCTGCCGTATGAGTGGTTTGACTGCGCAGATAAACCGGATTATAATGGATTGCCACCGTATTGTTGTTGGTTCTCAAAATTGAAGAATGAGTTTGCCTTGTCACCGGACGAGTATGCAGGATGCCTGCGAGTGTTCCAGGAGAGGGGAAGTAAAAACGCTCGCTGATTGGTTAGAGTATTACAACAATCTTGCTGTCGGACCATTCCTGGAAGCGCTGGAGAAAATGAGAGGGTTTTACTCAGGGCTTGATGTTAACATTTTCAAAGACTCTGTGTCGCTTCCGGGTGTGTCGTTGCAATATCTCCTGCATGGAACGATACAGGGTTTGAACGCCCCAGAGTTGTACGCGCCGGGGAAGGAGGCGTACGAGATACTCAAAGGGGCAGTCATGGGCGGACCAAGTCTGGTTTTCACCAGAAAGTATGAGGGGGCGGAGGGGGGGGACGGCGATAAGATTGCGTAAGTATGAAAACGCTCGCACGTGCCAGCGGATGCTCGATTACGACGCCAATGCGTGTTAACCAAACACCATGCTGCAGGAAATGCCGTGCGGACCCGGAAAAGTGGTGTATTACGAGATTCCCGCCGAAGAGGATGATAGGTTAGTAAGCCGGCCAAGAGAGAAAATGTGGTTCGGTTTTGCGCAGGTGGATATCAGAGTCCTAAGGGAGCTGTGGGAAAAATGCGAAGAATTTCCGCCTTTGTTTACGACGGTTGTATTCCATCCAAGGTGATTCCGAAGCACATGAAAGATTATTTCGAAAGAACCAAGCGAACCGGCCGGGTTACAAAATGATACGTTTTGTAGGCGGCTCGCGGGGATGAAGATATTGCTTTACGCTCCGCTCTTAGGATGGTATCTCGATCATGGTCTTGAGATCACAGCGGTTCATCGAACCATCGACTACAGGCGAGAGAAAATCTTCACCTGGTTCGTGAACAAAGTGACCGAGAACAGGCGCAGAGGAGACGAAGATCCAGTCAAAGCCCTCCTAGCAGAGGTGTTCAAGTTGTTGGGAAACAGTGCTACGGAAAGCTAATCGAGGCGAAAGAATGACAGAGGTGGTATACCCAGAGGACCAGCTTGTGGTCCACAAATCACAGACGGTCGGCGTGGTTCGATGACCTGGAGGAGATCGGCGACGTGTTTGAGATAAAGTTTCGAAAGGAAAAAATGGTGGGCATCGTCGTGTATCAAGTTGCCAAGTTGAGAATGTTGCAGTTTTATTACGATTGTTTGGACTATTTCATCGATAGGAAGGGATTTCGAACTCATCCAGATGGACACGGACAGTATGTTTTGGGCGTTCTCATGCAAAACGCTCGAAGAAGCGGTCCGACCGGAGCTTCTCGAAAAGTTCGAAGCGACAAAAAAGAATTGGTTCGCAATAACAGGCCGTAGCCCCGATTTTAAGTACTAGGCGACTTTGAAAGACGCGTGCTTCCGTATTTGTGGCGGATTAGAATGCCGGCTTTGTCAGAAGCCCTTTGTTTAAAACGTGGCGGGATACTCGCAGCTTAAGGCAAGCACGTACTTTGTAGCTGTCAACCTAATGCTTTTTAATTACATTCTGTCATCATTTTAACCCGATCCATGTTTGATTGAAAGTAATGTACAAATCTGCTACCAAACAAACCGCTTTAAAAAAAAAGAAAACAAAACTAGTTCATGGTTATTTCTCATTAATTTCACTTATCAAAACAAATAAGTACTTTTATCAGTTTTCCCGTTTCTTTCAAAACATCCTTCATTTCCGGGCGTTTCACTGTAGTCATTGAAAGACACGTTTTAGCAGTCTTCTCTTAGGCGAGAATAACTTAATTTTCATCCTTCAAAACGCGATGAACTAAAGTTCGCAGGGTACCAAAGCGTCAAAGGCGCACGATGCAGTCCCGGTGCTTTGTGAGCACCTGTTAAAAATATTGAACGCCAAAACTATCAAGTTTTAATACAAGGGACAGCAAGTTTCTGTACCCAAAGGTCAGTGCATGGACAGGCTACCGAAGAAATACAAGAGGGATGCTTGCCTGATGGTGGTCAGCAGGCCTACCTACTCAAATAAGTGTCTCATTACATCCTTGTCTGCAAGTTAGTACTAAATTTACCGTCTAGAATACATTACACAACCCAATCAGCAACACTTTGCAAGTAGAATTGGCGATCAATGTGGGCAATTTAAATTTCTAAGGGACGTCCGTCGCACAAAGGCCTAACGCCCGGGAGTTTTTAGTCAATGACTTACATACGAGTTTCCTCTATATCAACCCAGTTAACGTGCGATAATGTACGCGTGAACTTTGCCTAACTCTGGCAATAAGATGAATAAACCGGAGGCTGAACCAGTGATATACCGAGCATCATACAGGTTACGCACCGAAAGCCACCATTGTACTCTTCTTCTACCAAACGGTTTTCCTGCAATGGTCTTAGAACTGGTCCCATTGCCGAAGCCTTGCACGAACAAGATACGGTCAACTTGAAAGAATCGATGTTGTACTCGGGACAAGAAAAAGGTCTCCTTCGAAGGAACTGATGCAATGCAATAGCTTCAAGCTAATGAGAATCGCCGATTCTGGATTACAACCAGTGAAGGAACACCTGAGAAGCGTCCAAATTATAAAGGAACTTTGGAGGCCAGTCAGCCACGATGATTGTCGCACCACACATAAAGTAGAATAAATTTGTTGGTCTGGTCTTTTCTCTGCCACAAATCAAGGAAAACTATCCAAAAATTTTTTTATAAAGAAGGTGTTACTCTGAACATTGGAAAATAATACTATGCTAGACGACTGACACTGTAAAAGAGCGACTACCTTCACCTCAGAATCTTGGGCGCGCCGCCTGTAAGCTCTGAGGGAAAGGGTAGCCCCATAATTTGGCCTATCGAAAAAACAAAAAATCATACAAAGATGACCTACAATAATAACTTGGATAAGGACCGACATTTTAAAAGAAAGACTACCATCACCTCAGAATCTTGGGCGCGCCTCCTGTAAGCTCTGAGGGAGGGGGTAGCCCCAGAATTTGGCCTATCTGAAAAATAAATGACACTTCAAAAATAAGCTACAATAATAGTTTGGATAATGACCGACATTTTAAAAGAGAGACTACCTTCTCCTCACAATCTTGGGCGCGCAGCCTGTAAGCTCTGAGGGAGAGGGTGGCCACATAATTTGGCCTATCTAGAAAACAAATGACAGTACAAAGATGATAATTTTTGTTTAATGAAATGATTTTTTTTTCTAATCAAAACTAAGTGTTTTTTTTCACGAAAGGAGTTGTAAATAGTGTTTTAACGAAATAGTTTTTTTTAAAGTGAATTAATTGTAAATAGGATTTTAATAGTTAGTATGTTATCAATAAAATATGTGTTAATACAAAGATGACCTACAATAATAATTTGGATGATTACCGACATTTTAAGAGAGAGACTAACTTCACCTCAGAATCTTGGGCACGCCGCCTTTAAGCTCTGAGGGAGAGGGAAGCCCCTTAATTTGGCCTTTGTAAAAAACAAAGAACTATACAAAGGTAACCTGTAATAATAATTTTTTGGTTATGATTGACATTTCAAGGAGACTGAAATGACTGATATAGAGACTATATCTATCTGTGACGTTGATTAGTGAGATCGCCCAAGCGAACACGCAGACGTTGAAGTGGAAGAATATCTAGAGTAAACCAGCGTAATAAGCTCCTGCCAGCGAAGAAAATTTTGGCAGGATTTCGACAGTGCTTGGCGGGTTTTTGGGGAGTGATTTGTCACTGGAGGTAAATCGACACTTACATCGTCTTAAGCCAGAGAAAAAAGACTTGAATCTTTCGCCGATTGATCAGAAAGATCGTCCATTAAATCAGATGATCGGTCTTGCTGTTCTTCGAGGAGATGTTAGGTAGAGCTCGAGCTCTCGCATTCGTTTACACCGGCATCAATAAAAGCTGCATTGTTGACTGCCCTTCTCAAACGTTCATGATCAAATAGAGAAGATTTTAAAAAATTCTGTGGTCAGGGTCTTTTCCACGCAGAGTTCCTGCTAAACCGGAGAAAGCTGTGCCAGCAGAGACTGTATAATTCCTAGTTGTGACTCCTCATTAAAAACTACGCCGACTCGCCGTTTTCACCTCGAGAGACACCAATGTTGACGCAGCATACTACTCTCGAAAGAAGTTAAATAAGCCATTGGAGCACTATACTCTTCAAGCAAAGCACTTGAAAGCTAAGAAGTCTATTTGAATCCAAATTTGGCGAGAAAACTGTAGTTATCAGTTGCGGAGCCAGCCGCGAAGATCGACTTCCAAATATTCAATCGACAGTGAAATGAATTTATATTACCCAAATAGTCTGATCCAATTTCGCTTTTCCTTCAGATGTCTGGTTCGTTTAACCAGAAGTACAAAGTTCCTTGACAGGCAATGTGTCCGGCGCTCTCTATTAAAAGGTGTCTGGAGGAATGCTAAAACTAATTACGAAATTAACGCTTGTCAGTTATTGGAAACCGATTTGCGGTGGTTGCTGTGGTGATTAGGCCTCCTCGGGCCGCATTAAAATCGGGCCTCTGGCTTATGAATGCGGACGGCGGCGGGGGCGGGACAAATGGAGCAATCGCATGCCGGGCCTCCTCAAGCTGGAGTTCGAAGGAACCCGTGGGATCACCCTCTGCAGTAAATGTTATTGCATGGAGAACGAAGAGAAGAGTAAAGCCAGGTTGTCATCGAAGGTCGTGTCCAAGCGGCAGAACAAACTCACATGGGAGCGATACGAGGCAGCGTTCAAAGAAGTGGAGGACAAAGCCATAAACCCGGGTTCAGGGTGGTGAGAGGCACGATGCGAATACATACCCAAAATAAGCTGGAGATGAGTGCCTATTACGGTGAGTGCTGCAGAACGGGATCCACCCGGAGCCTACTGAGTATCACTTACAAAAGGAAGAGTAGTGTTGGGCAGAATGGCAAGCAGCTCCTCAAGCACAAACCCCCGTTTCGGGCCGTCTTGCAAATAATACACAATTGGCTCGTTGGGCTTTACAAGGGGAGGCAGGAAATTATGGACTTTCAAAGACCAGACAACATCAGTGGCTCGCTGCCTCCCGCCTTCCAGCTCACCAGCCTGATACAGGTATCGAACATTTATAATTGGCGAGGATTTTTTTCCATTTTTTCCTACAGGGCGCAAAAAGGGAGTGGAGGGTTTTGCAGCAACGGCCTTTTCTTTGATGGCTTCGGCGGGTTTTCTGCCTGTGAGGCGAGTGACTTCGCCGTTCAGAGCAGAGACCACAGCAGGAAGCCGAACGACCCATTCGGAAGATCTTTGGCCCTCAGGAAGCCCCATTTCGACAGCACACTGTTGTCTGGACAGGCGCTCAGCACGGTTGAGTCTTTCCACGATTGCTTGTCCAGGTGAATCTCCGGGCGCCAACGTCGAATGTTTGTTTTGTGTTTTTCCATTTCTTTCGTGACAGCGCCCATGAATTATCGGCCTGTGTCGACCTGAAGCAGATGTGACAATTTCAAAGGCCCGCGTTTGTAAATTTTTTGAAAAGCGCTTGTAACCTCAGGTCTTTCAAGGTCAAGGGTTCAGCCTCTTTGAAACAGCTGTCCACATCGACGACGGTCAAAGCATGTTTGTATGTTTTTCGTCCCCTTAAGTGTCGTGTGGAAGAAAAAGAACTTTGGTTCGCTGGACGCCGTGAGCGGCTCGTCTTGGTGCACACGGTTGTAGTTGTTTTCGTGCTGCGTTTTGATCCAGTCAAGCAGCTTTGTTCTTTGTTTTTCATATTTGACATAAGCGGCTTGATAAGCCTCCAGAGCTTCGTCATGTCTTTTTTTTCTTCGAGAGAAGCCTGTGGGTCATCGCCAGAAAGAAAACGGGCAAGAAAATTACCGTCAGTAAAAGCAACAGCGTTAAGCACAGCACCATCAGCTATAATAGCAACACTTGCCATGCAATGTACAATACCCTCAAACTTAGACGTTTTTGGGAAGACAGAGCGATTCCTGCAGCAGTCACGACGATGAACTTCATATAGTTCATCGTATTGCTGCTGGAGTCGGCGGTGAAGTTTTCGTTTACAGCTTTTTTCGCAATCTACCCGATGCCGGCGGCCAGGCCGGTGAGCGTTGCGGCATCGAGAACAGATATTACAAGCTTGTTTTTGGACATGATTGTATATATTATGATTAAATTTCAATCAAGAAGCGAAGTTTGTGGCGGGGCTCTGGCTTGGGTGTCGGGTTTCGGCGAAGGGAGGCCATAATCGCCTCTCGCTGATAATAAACGCCCGGAGCACAGATAGCCAGGCCTCCTACGTCAAGTATCAAATAGAGGTTAATTCTATCGTTGTCGCTTTCTGTCTACTTTTTACTCTCTTTGCTTTGCAGGGCAGCTGGTGTTTCTTGGTTCTTTTTTTGGTCAAGTGGCACGCGGTTTCGTTCGTCTACCTTTTTACCAGTTACAACTCGCCAAGGATGTTTTGCAGGCTTTGTTGTAGGAACTTTTGTCAAAAATTGCTCTGGGACTTCAGCAGGTGTTTCGGCAGGTGCATCAGCTTTCGTTTCCATGTTGTATACAATAATGTGAAAATTTTTTGAGAGGCTCTTTTGACGGTCCTTTCTCAGGTTCTTTGCAGGCTCCGTTTCAGGTTCTTAGTCAGCTTCTTTGCAAGGCTTTTGTCCAGGTTTTTGACAGATTCCTTTATAGGTTCTTTTTCAAAGTCGATGTTTTTGGCTGTGATCAGAGCGGAGTTGGCAACTAGGCCTTTCCCGATTGCGGTCGTAAAATCCTAAAAAAGTGCTGGCAAAAATGGCTAAAAAGTGCTCAAAAAGTGCTCAAAATCTCGAAATAGTGCTCAAAAAGTGCTAAAAGTTGTGAACAGTTACCTCTAAGCTTTTCGTAAATATGTCAATTTTTACTGAAGTAATTAACAATCTATTTTGCGAGTGTTATTCGACAGGTTGTTACGAAAGGTTGATAGAATATAGAACAATAATATTTTTAAAAAACTAAAGCCGGTTACGAATTGTAAATAAATTCAGCAGTGCTAGCATCAGATGATTTAGAAATTTGAGATGACACACGCATGATACATCAGCCAATCAGAAACTTCTGTACTCACGCTCAGTGAGGATAAGTTCACGTGCCTTTCCATGACAACGGTCTTTTATTCTTGACAACATCATTAGTTATTCAAATTTATGACCTGGAACACGATTCTCGTTGCGAGCGACACACAGTTTTGGCTTTAAAATTTTTTAGAAGACATATGTTGCTCGAAATTTGCTCGAAATGTGAAATATTGCTCAAATGTTGCCCAAAGTGCGGAAAAGTGCTTAAGGGTGCTCAAAATGCAAAATAGTGCTCCAGACTCAAAAAAGTGCTCAAAAGGTGCTCAGCGCAATCGTGAAAGGCCTAATGGCAACCGCAAACAGGCGGCCGCAGCGCAGTACTGTAATTCCAGCCACAGATGAGAATGTCGAGTTAATAACGAAATCTCCTGGCAGATCCTTTTGCAAAGCGTCCACGTCATCCACTTTGAGAACCACTCCAATGGCTTTGCTAGCAAAACCAGTGGAATAGCCTAAGCCTTAGGCCTCATATCGTTTGTAAATTTCTCCACATCTTTGTCCGAGAGGTGTGTTCATGAGAAACTTGGATGCCGAGCGCCTCGTTGGATTTGCCCCCGGAAACAAGCACAGCAAGCTTTTCACGTTGCTCTGAAAGGTGGTTGGCAGGGAGCGAAACAGGAAAATCTTAGGGTTTCGAGCTGTATCGGGTGGCCTCCAGCATTTGCGTGACTTCGTTGAGGGCTTTTGTTCAGCATCCTGTTCAGATATGCCGTATATATTAACTGAAAATTTTGATTCCAAAGGCATGGCTTAGGGCAACGACCAGATAAGGATATTTTTGTTTTTTCAGCTCAGCCATCAGTTCTTTGTACCCTTCGGAGGAAAGCTCGCCGGCGTAGTCTTCAGGGATGGCTTTCATGGTTTTGCCCTTCAAAGTGTAAAACAGAACAATGGCGGCTACGTTTTTACGAAATGGTTTTGAGATGCCGGTGATCTTCTGTGCATGTGTCAGTACTCAAACGCAGGTGCCTGTATGGCGGGCTGAAAAGCCGAGGGAAACCAGCTGACCTGTGCGGCCTTTCACGTCCTTCGAGGCAGCGCAATTGTCCAAAACAATAAGCGTGTTTGTTCCCTAAAAAAATATCCGCTCTTTTGAAGCCAGAGCTCCAACTCTTCTTGCGGGTAGTCAATGACAAAAATGTGTGAATCGTGATCCACAAACTCGTCGTAGGTTTTGTTTCGGAGAAAGGTTAGGCATATCTAAACCATGCAGTCAAACTTGCCTGGAAAGGGGCTACGCAGTTAGTTCACAAGGTATTGGACTTTGCCGGAGTTTGTCGGGCACACGATCAGAGGTTAAACGGAATGTTGTTTGGGTCCATTTATGGTTAATACTGCACATGCATCAACTGTCTGTCCATAATGTTCATCTGAGAATCGGTGATTGTGAAAACGCGGCATTTCAGATTTCTCGAACCAGAGGGCTTTCTTTCGATCTCAAGGAAGAGACCGTCTTTGGTGTTCAAAAAACGGACGCCGCAACCGTGCATTGTGGTGTCCGCCATGGAACGAAGGTCAATGATCGACCCAAACTTGTGATCCGTGTAAAACCTTGTGAGGTCCATTCTGCTTACTGGGCAGAATGGACTGAAATAACTGGCTGATCTCCCGCCACATATCCTGCGCCTCGTTGCTGTTGTTATAAATCCTGTTGGGTGAGCGGTTCACCGTGACGCTTACTTTAGTGATGTCAGGGTTAGCGTATTTTTTCGCCCCTCGGGGTCCAGCTGTGCAGGGTTCGATAAAAAGCAAAAGAATGGCCTTGAGTGACCTGCGCTGAAGGTTCATCTTGATGTTGAGCCTGCTGGCCTTGGTCTTCTTAAAGGTCACCACCTCTTCCGCATGATGTGGTCAAAAGAGAACTCCTTGTCGCTGTTTTACACCATGATAGCTGCTGGCCAGCTTCTTGCTGTGGATGGTCTCATACTCCATCTAAGTGTTTGTCAGCTTATAGACCAGCTTTGATGCGTCTGAGCCTCTCACAACCTGCGAAGCCGGCGAAAGTGTCAGTTCAAACACAATATCGTTGAAAAGGGCTTGTGGGTAGAAAACTCCGTGATCGCCCAGAATAGGGTGGTCCAGTCGGATGCGGTGCTTGTTGCCAAAAACGGCCTCCAGAGTTTTTTCACCGTCCACGCTCGTTGTCTCTGTCATCGGCGTTCGAGCGAATCTTACAAAGTTTTTCGGTTTGAATCCTCTCCAGCAGCATGTTAGCGCTCATGCAGTGGAAGGAAAAGATCCTGGTAAATTTGAAAATGTCATATCCCACTGTTTCTTGAGGAGTGGTGCCCGCACATTTTACAGCAAACTTGTCCACCAGTGCTCTCGAGACGTTCCTTACGAGAAAATTGTTTGCGTGGCCGCCGGTCAGATCGATGTTCAAACGCAGCGCCAGAGAAGCGGCCACGATGACCTCATTTTTATTCAGCTTGGGCACGTGAACGTTAAGTGTCTCGCCTGAGTTTGCCACACTGAGAACAAAAGTGATGCGCTCCCCAGTGCGCTCGGCCATATTTTGCTGTGCGTTGGTCAAATAGTTTTTTAAATTGCAACTTTTTGTCGTCCATTATATCTATATATATAAAAAATGGCAAAGGGTGGTTTTGACAATGAAAGCCCCAGCTTTCACTGGCACCTCGACCACGATGATGACTATGACGACGACGAGCAAGAAGTTAACCGCACCCGACCATTTCAGCTGGACACTACATCCACACCTTACCACCCAGGCGAACAAATTGAAATGCTCAAGTTTCCTGAAGAACAGAGCGGGCTGCCCGGAACCTTTTTTGCCGAAGACAAACCCCTGATTGGAGGTTTTTTCACGAAGACGAGAAACGAGCAATACTTGACAGAGCAAGAGAGATTATCGAAAGAAGATTTCCGAAAGTCAGCTTCGCCAAACTTGGACCAATCGGCTTTAACAAAAAAGGAGATGAAGCTAAAATGGCTTCGTTTGGGCCAAAGGGCGGCGAGTCCGACATTTTCAAGAAAGACGATTCGGGCCAGCTGTGATCATTCAAAGATAGAGTCAAAAATGCTCTTAGCCCAAAAACCGAAGATCATTGCAGAGGACAATAAATCGATCAGAGAAAAAAAGACAACGATTACGAGAGGTGGAAAAACAACTACGAGAGAAGGAAAGAATTGCCGCCGGTCGCCGACGAGTCAGTGATGAGATGCAAAAGCTGAAAAACAGAATCGAATAAACCCAACCCAAGATTGATGCTTTTGATGAAGAAAAAATAAGTGGAAGCGAACTGCAAAGATTGGAACTACTGAAAAAAAATCTTCAAGAAGATTTTGAACGGGTTAAAAAAGAGCTCTCTTAAAGGTGATTCCATTGTTCAAACAAGGAGAGCGCTCAGATTTGAATAATTATCCCCCATTTTCTGTCACGCCTTTTGTGTCAAAAGTCTTTGAGATAATCATTTACAATCACTTGTACGGTTATTTAACTCAGAATGATCTGATATTCGGTCATCAATCTGGATTTCGATCTCTTCATTCCACGGTCACTGTCTCACTCCAAGCCACTGACAACTGAGCATTCAATATAGACAGGGGAAAGGCGAATGCCGTGGTATTTCTGATCTAAAAAAGCTTTGATACCGTCGACCACTCCATTATTTTGTCTAAATCGGACGCCTATGGTGTCTCTGGCCCTGCCTATAAGTGGTTTGAATCCTATCTTTTCTCCCGTGCTCGCTCAAAAATGTTTTGTAAATGGTTCTCTCTCGGGTAGCAAATCCCTCTCCTTCGGGATGCCTCAGGGAACTATTCTAGGCACACTTTTATTCATACTGTACATAAACGATCTGCCAAACTGCCTAGAATTCTCTGTTCCTCAGATGTATGCTGGCGACACACACTTGACTTTTGCCGGTAGAGACCCTGATCTTATAGAGCGCAATCTAAACCATGACCTTCCCAACATTAGCGATTGGTTAGTGGCCAAGAAACTGACACTAAACAAATCCAAAACTGAATTCATGGTGATTGTGTCTCGGCAAAGGTTAAGGATTCTTGACCGATCTCCTGCTCTAGCGATTGATAATTCCCCAATCTCTCAAGTTGTCTCTACCAAATCTCTTGGTTACTAAAATCTCTAAAAAAGTATATAGCTTCGGGCATTGGTGCTCTAAAGCGCTGTCGTCCTTTCGTTCCTCTGGAAACCTTAATTTGCGCGTACAATTCGATAATCGAGCTACACTATGATTATTGTGACATATTGTGGAATAATTGAGGGGCAACTAATGCCACGAAGCTGCAGAAGCTCCAAAATCGCGCCGCCAGGATCTTGTCTTACTCTGACTACGACGCTGAAGTAGAGCCACTTTTTCAGCAGTTAAATTGGACTCAACTTGCTCGTCGTCGTGAACTCCACACAGTAAACATGGTTTACAAATGTACTCACGGTTTAGCGCCTGAATATTTACAGGATAGATTTGTAAACCGTGTTTCGAATTATTTCTTGAGAAATTCCTCTAATAAATTTGATGTTCCTCTCCTCGCACCAATTAGCTTATGGAACGGTTTGCCTTCGACACTTCGGCAAGCAGCATCCACACACATTTTTAAATCTGGCATCAAGGAATTCTTCACATAGTATCCACTCGGCATCCATGGAAAGCAGGCTAACTTAATTTATATACTATTTATTATTTATTGATTATTTAATATTATATGTACATCTGTTTTATATTCTATTTATTATCATATTATTTGTTAGGTTAGATCATAGGTTATATGTACATATTTTATAAGAATAGCTTTAGAATTTTATATTAGTTATATGCCTGATGTTTTTACCGAGTTTGAATAAAGTTGCTTGACTTGACTTGACTTGATGACGTACAAAAGCAACCAAAACAGACAGAGAAATCACAAAATAAGTCCATAAGCTGAGAAGAAGCCTTGCTTCCATGGAAAAGGAAATAAACACACTTGAAGAAAGTTTCAACTGCACGAAACCACTCGACGACCTTAGGGAAAAGGAATCCGAGCTTGAACGCCAAAACGAGGAAGATAAAGCAGTAATCAATGACAAAAACGCTTCGCCTTCTGAAAAAGAAGCCCCCGAAGCCAGAGTAGCTGAGCGTGAAGAGGAGCTGGCATGGCTCAGAACGGAGATTGCAGAGAGAGAAAAAAGCATCCCCCTTTTCGTAAGAGTAAAATAAATTATCAAACAATTTGGGTTCATTATCACTGCTATTATCCTTGCCGCCGGGACTGTCATTGGCGCTGTTATAGGAGCGATAACAGACGTCCTGAAAGCACTGGGCAAAGGCGTGGGGAAAGGTCTGCAAGATATTGGCAAATAGAACCAGCGTCTCTTTTGCCCCGCCTCATCAGCTCGATCGTGAGTTTCATTTTCATAGCGGCAGGAAAGGCCATCTCCTTTCTAGCAGAACACACCTGGCTTATAATTCTTGCTGTGGTCGCCTCTTTTACACAAAATTTCCTCAAGCGCTTCCAAACAAACAGACCTGTCAAAACAACTGCTCCCACAACGATTAGCACCTTGTTTTTGTCATGACTCGTGGTCGCTGGGGTTGGGTCGGGTGGTGCGGGTGGGGTGGGAGAAATGGACATCTAGTTTTTTTTTGCTCTCCCAGACCTTGCGCTTTCATTGCCTCCTTATGGATGGGGTTAGATGGGTGACTCTTTGGCACGTTAATTTTGAAGGACCCCCGTCCGTGAGGCGCAGCCCAAGTTTTTTGTCTCTGTGTTCTTGTCGTTGTTCAGCTCGAGTTTCATTTTTGGCATTACCTGCCTGAGCTTGTTGTTGTAGGCGACTGTTCTTCCTGTATTTATCCCCACGCGCGAGATCATCAGCCAGGCTCTCTTAGACGTCGCCAGATCAAGTCACACTTTTGCCTCGTCAACAACGAGCTGCAAGCGCTGCACGCTTTTGGCCAAGTCTGGCTGCCTCATAGCGTCTTCCAACAACACGACAAACTCGCTCTGCGCTTCGGAGGGTTTGACAACGTGGCTGGCGGATAGGTCCACTTGTTGAAAGGCCAAGAACTTCCGTCATCGTAAATGACGTAAACATAACCAAGACCGTGATTCTGGTCGTGCGTAAAATGGAAGTCTATGGTTGAGTCTGGCTTAACGTTGGGTCTCCGAGCAAAGCGCTCACGTTTTGGATGCCACCCATCTCGTAAAGAATTCTTGTCGTGAAATTAAATAGACGTGGAACTTAAAAAGGGCCTTTAGCTGAGAACTCAGCAGCATTTGTCCACTGTCCAACAAAATGTCCCGTGAAATACCACAGCCTGTGGTTGTACAACATAGCTCAAAAATTCAACTGCTGTGGCCAATATTTCATGTTTGGCCTTCCCAGCCACGCCCTTGGCTCTTTTCCCATTGTGTGTTTGTGACATATTTTTTGCTTCCCGTTCCACAATCCGCCATCACTAGCAACGCTGTTTACAAAATCATCCTTCGGCACAGGTTTTTTCTTATGTTTGCTGATATGAGTTGGAAATTAATTGATTATATATATACAATGTCTTTATGGAACGTGATACCGAGTGCACCGCCTTAACAACTCTATCCGGAGTTGCCGTCCCGGATATCAAAAACTATGGAAAAGTCACCAAATAATACAAAAAAGCCCAAACTGCCAAGCATTATGTCGCAGTCGGTTTGGGCTCTCTCCCGGCCGCTCTTTCAACCTCTGGCCAGACTCGTACCCAGTCGTCACTGATGATTTCTGGGAAGATATTAATGCGCGCAAAGGCGCTTGGGAAGGAGGGAGAAACTGTGACCTACTTTCCGTTTTTCTTCCTTCCTTCCCTCGATGCAAAGCGAAGTCGCTTAAACCTTCCCATCAATCATCGCGCAACAATAAAGGCGGCTGGGTATGAGTCTGGCCTCTGTCATTGCCTTGAGCCTTACGGGCATGAGGGAGCTACTTCCCATACATTCTGTTAAATAAAATCCAAACGATGTTCTCACATCTTGCAAAGCGATCAGCAAGGGTCTGCTAGCGGATTTGTGTACTGATCATGTGCATTACGTCAAAAACCATAAATCAACGGTCTTGAGAAGGGGGAAGAAGTAACCCCCGGGCGGTCGGCGGATCCGACTTTAATAACTTTCACCCAGGCCGCTACTTATTGAGTGACATGGAAACGAGGATGTAGCTGCATTTTCAACATGGCGTATGTTTTGCACGTCAATCGCTACGATACCTACTATTAATAGCGAGTCCTTTGGTTTACATTTGATACTCAAGCTAAAAAACTAACTACTGATAAAAGGTTTTAGAAAAAGAATCGCTCGGGCCAAGTTGACGAGTTGTAGAAAATTATTTTTGTTCACTAAACTACTGGTCTAGGGGTTAGTACAAGCACACTTTTACTAGCCCAGGTAGTCCTGGGCTAGTGGATTAGCGTTAGTGTCCAGCACTGACGATGTATTTTGCAAATTGGTATACAGTATAAATACAGTATAAATACAGTATTTTGCAAATTGGCCATCTTTTATGTTATTTATAATGGGTTAAGACCTAAATACCTGCAAAATGCCGCTCTCTGATGATAAGCACCATAAGACTAACTGAAAGCGATCATTCAGAGGCGAGTGACAGTATTTTGCAAATTGGCCACTCTTATCAGGTAATCTTGCTTTAATCAAAGCCATATCATTCGACAGATCCCATTTTGGTTAACCTCGCAGTAAAACTAGAAGGAATTGTAAAATAAAGGAACTCGATAACTTGGAAGTAAGTTACTCCCCCTTCTCGAACACAAATAAAATAAACAACAAATGGTATGTGAATGCGAAAATCATGTGTATTTATTTCGAGTTTTTCTGGTGTCCGAAAAACACATTTGTTTTTCAAGAAAAGAAATATTAAAAGAAGGAAAGTCTGCCATTTTTTATTGAAACAGCTTGGATTTTCAAATTGTCACCTCTGGCAAGAAGAGTATAGACAAAAAGAGAAGTTTGTATTACAGACATCTTCGGATTTTCCGTGACTTTTAAACAACATATTGAGCCTTAAAATCGTGTCCGCTGAATACACCCATACTTATATTTTATAAGAATAGCTTTAGAATTTTATATTAGTTATATGCCTGATGTTTTTACCGAGTTTGAATAAAGTTGCTTGACTTGACTTGACTTGATGACGTACAAAAGCAACCAAAACAGACAGAGAAATCACAAAATAAGTCCATAAGCTGAGAAGAAGCCTTGCTTCCATGGAAAAGGAAATAAACACACTTGAAGAAAGTTTCAACAGCACGAAACCACTCGACGACCTTAGGGAAAAGGAATCCGTGCTTGAACGCCAAAACGAGGAAGATAAAGCAGTAATCAATGACAAAAACGCTTCGCCTTCTGAAAAAGAAGCCCCCAAAGCCAGAGTAGCTGAGCGTGAAGAGGAGCTGGCATGGCTCAGAACGGAGATTGCAGAGAGAGAAAAAAGCATCCCCCTTTTCGTAAGAGTAAAATAAATTATCAAACAATTTGGGTTCATTATCACTGCTATTATCCTTGCCGCCGGGACTGTCATTGGCGCTGTTATAGGAGCGATAACAGACGTCCTGAAAGCACTGGGCAAAGGCGTGGGGAAAGGTCTGCAAGATATTGGCAAGTAGAACCAGCGTCTCTTTTGCCCCGCCTCATCAGCTCGATCGTGAGTTTCATTTTCATAGCGGCAGGAAAGGCCATCTCCTTTCTAGCAGAACACACCTGGCTTATAATTCTTGCTGTGGTCGCCTCTTTTACACAAAATTTCCTCAAGCGCTTCCAAACAAACAGACCTGTCAAAACAACTGCTCCCACAACGATTAGCACCTTGTTTTTGTCATGACTCTTGGTCGCTGGGGTTGGGTCGGGTGGTGCGGGTGGGGTGGGAGAAATGGACATCTAGTTTTTTTTTGCTCTCCCAGACCTTGCGCTTTCATTGCCTCCTTATGGATGGGGTTAGATGGGTGACTCTTTGGCACGTTAATTTTGAAGGACCCCCGTCCGTGAGGCGCAGCCCAAGTTTTTTGTCTCTGTGTTCTTGTCGTTGTTCAGCTCGAGTTTCATTTTTGGCATTACCTGCCTGAGCTTGTTGTTGTAGGCGACTGTTCTTCCTGTATTTATCCCCACGCGCGAGATCATCAGCCAGGCTCTCTTAGACGTCGCCAGATCAAGTCGCACTTTTGCCTCGTCAACAACGAGCTGCAAGCGCTGCACGCTTTTGGCCAAGTCTGGCTGCCTCATAGCGTCTTCCAACAACACGACAAACTCGCTCTGCGCTTCGGAGGGTTTGACAACGTGGCTGGCGGATAGGTCCACTTGTTGAAAGGCTAAGACCTTCCGTCATCGTAAATGACGTAAACATAACCAAGACCGTGATTCTGGTCGTGCGTAAAATGGAAGTCTATGGTTGAGTCTGGCTTAACGTTGGGTCTCCGAGCAAAGCGCTCACGTTTTGGATGCCACCCATCTCGTAAAGAATTCTTGTCGTGAAATTAAATAGACGTGGAACTTAAAAAGGGCCTTTAGCTGAGAACTCAGCAGCATTTGTCCACTGTCCAACAAAATGTCCCGTGAAATACCACAGCCTGTGGTTGTACAACATAGCTCAAAAATTCAACTGCTGTGGCCAATATTTCATGTTTGGCCTTCCCAGCCACGCCCTTGGCTCTTTTCCCATTGTGTGTTTGTGACATATTTTTTGCTTCCCGTTCCACAATCCGCCATCACTAGCAACGCTGTTTACAAAATCA